CAAGAATAGATTTGCGTAAATGACGTATTACACTCAAATAGTATTTATTGTTGATAGTTTGTGTGGTCGGAAGGAGTTCGGAGTGCACCGCAACGCGATAATTGAAGAAAACTGTCAGCATAAGCTTGAATTTCGATCTGCTTTGCCGTTGTTTTTCGGCTTCGGCTCAGCTTTGTCACGATATTCGGCCGATTGAACGTTCATTTCCGGGTCGCATGGATCCAAGACAAGTCGCTCGTAATAATACGTTTCGTGAGATCCTGGTAGTCGGAAAGCATTGCTTCACCGACGTTAACGCGGCAATATTTTGTTTTTTTTTAAGAATGAGTGATTATGGAATCAACCGTGCTTTCACTTATCTTAGACCCAAATGATACTTTAAAATGGTTTTAACTGATCTTTTCGATATTCTAACGTTACCAGTAAGATCTCAGACTGTTAATCGTCCATTCTYAAGCAATAATTCTCTTACTTTATTGACGTGGTTCGCCGTCAACCTGTTCTCGACCCTCTTTGAATATTTGTACCAATCAAAAACAGTTCCCCGCGACATACAATTTTCACCGAATCAAGTTTATCTTTTCTGTATTAAAACTTCTTCTCCTTGATTGAAATATTAAATAATGTAAAATTGTTTTTAATGAGTTGATGACTAATGGTCCAAGATTGCAAATTATCCGTACACTAAAAAATTGTTGAAGCTATAAAATACGTAAGCCATACCCCAAAGTCATTCAATAGACGGCATCAAGTGTTTAACAAAGCGTTTAAACACTTAAGCTTACAAATATGAAGTATTTCCAAGTTATCGTGTGCGCCAATTGACCTGTTGGCCGGCAAGATGGGCTGGCCGGGTATAAATAACTATCTTCGGTGGCATAAATGATACAATGTAAATACTGTTATGAGCGCAGCGCGATTTTCATAAATATAACGGTAATTTATAGGAACAAGTATGGCTGCATTACTTCAGACTGCCCTTTATGGTGAGCGTATGAAGGGTGTGTAGCGTGCATTGCGCTTTGGGAATTATTGCCGATATTTCTTTTACTTTTTTTTGTTTTTACAAATATGAACGGTATTTTTTACTACTGACACTCCTTGTTTTTCCTTTCGTCCTTCTTCTCCTTCTGCGCTATCCACGTCTGCCTGGCGCTCAGCCGGCTGTGGCTTACGCCCTTATCACCGGATGACGTATGGCATAATTAATTTGCAACAATTCGTAATTGATTAACCGTTGAAAGCGGTCTATATATATGTATATAAATATGATGATGATATGGAAAGCAAATGCAAATATGTTGACATACGCCTGTAAATGGAGAACAAATGGCTTTTCAACTTGTACACATACATACATATTCGTTTAAATATGTTTGCTTGGGTTTAAAATGACAGCAATTGTTTTTTTTTTTTTT